ATTTCTCGCCGTAATGGCCGCCGACATAACCGGTGGTCGTGTCGTCGATGGGCTCGAAGTCGTGGGACTCAGTCTTCCAGTAGAAGACGTGGACGCCCTGGAAGGCGATCATACGGGGAAACTGGAAGCGCTTGTCGTCCATATGGCCGTCGTTGAAGGCGCAGTCGAAGCCGTACTTCGGCAGCCCATCCCACGCCCAACCCTTGGCGCCGCCGACCAGTTGTTGGCCCTTTGGGTCCCATTCCCAGCGAAAGGTGCCCTCAAACTTGAACGTATTGCCGGAGTGGGAACCGTTGACAAGTGTCATGATAGTGGTGTGTCTGGTGACCGGTGCCATATACTTCTCGGTGATGGGGAACGGCCCGAGAACCTGGCCTTTGGCCGGCAGACCCGTCACTTCCCACCAGTGGTGGTCTCGATATACTCTGTATGTGTTGTTTACCAACCGATTGGCCGAATGGATGGCCCCGTTCTCACACAGAGACGGCACTGTCGATGGCTTATCACCCGTTGTCACCGCTGTTGTCGTAATCACAATGAATGCCATCAATAGGTATGTAATTGTGGTCATCGTTGAAGAAGTCGTTTGAGAATCAAATCAATTAACAATCAATTAATTGTTTATTGAATTTAAATAAATAGGAAAATACTTTTCACGAGATTTTTGACATTTAATTGTTTTGATTATGTTTTGCCGGTCTTTGACTGACAGGTGAGACGATACAAGTGGTCACAGAAACGGTCCAGAGATTGTTTGCGATATTCATGAGTGACAGTAATCTTTAGCACACCATCGATGATATCACTGGACATGTGTTTTGTGTTTATTATAACTTTTTGTATACAAAAAACACATTAAAACTAATCATTAATTCAATTATTTATTGACTTTTGGTTTGCATTTCACGCGTTTTGTGTCACAAAAAAGTTATGCAAAAATTATATGAAACACAAAATTGTGTATTAAATAAAGTTTTAAACATTAAAATATTTGTAGTTTAAAATTGTTTATTTTATTGAGTGTTTAGACTTTTCACGCCATTAGTATTAATACAATTATACGAAATATAAATTTAGAAAATGGTTAAAACAGTTGTTAAATAAAATGAAAAGCAATTGAAAAGCAAATGAAATGAATTTGAATATTAATGGTGTCTTGAGATGTGTTAAGCCATGGAGTGATAGGACGAGTCCCTCAGAGCGGAATACGTTCAACACTCACGTCAATCATCACTTCCATCCACAGGTTGTTTGTGATGGCATTCAATTCAATCAATTCGTTTGGATCTTTCACCACAATTAGGTCGAAATATTCCTCGAAAAGTGTCTTCAAATCCAATACGAATTGGTCGGTCGGCGGTCCGTATTTGTAGGCAACTCTCGCCACTGACAGCACGTTCTCGACGGTCAACAGTGCGGCCAATCGGGTGCCCATCGCGTCGCTCATCAAACGGATGCCATACTTGCCGGCCATTTCGACGATTGTCTCCATTGTGTCGATTGTGATGAGTGTCTCCAAGTGTTTGCCGATGGCGTCCACCAAACAAATCACGCGGTAATAGTCCGCGCATTGGAGGACATCACCGATCAGATCCAAGTCATTGCCATCGCTTAACATCAATGTATGGGAGCTATACATGAATTGAATCATCGTTTTGAACGCGTCGAGAGTCGCCACTGTAATCGGGATCTCGTCTGCGGTCGACTCCGAGTATTGGCCCGAAAACATGGCGTCAAAGACATTGCTATTGATCCGCAAAACGGCTTTAGAAGCGGGAAGTCGTTGGCCGTCGACAATGAAGACCACATCACTCATGGAGTCTTCGTTCATAAAGTGCTTCATTCCGGGAAACCTCTCGTCCTCTTCCGAGTCGTCGGATGTGTTTCTCTTCCTCTTTGTCTTTGACTGCAATTCAAAAATCAATTGTCAAACGAGTGGTTGAATCTAATGGCGTGGATATCATTACCTGTTTGGACGTGTTTTGCGAGCCGTTGTCTGCCATCGAAAGTCAATTCAATTGATTATCTGTTGTATGGATTGATTGCAAGAGTTTACAAGAGTTTTATGTTCAAAAACTGACAGTTAATCTCCAAAAACAAGTTAACAATTAATAAAACAATTGAATGTTTGAATTGAAATGAAAACGCGATATAAATTACACAACAATACCATTGGTTTGCCATTTAATCACACATTTAATGACAATTACAACTCATTTCTGTATCAGTTTGTGTTGAGCTGTGGATCTGTTGGAAGTGCTCGCCATCGATGGCTAATCTCTGGCCGTGTCTGCGATCGATGTAACCATCGCTGCCATTGTGTTGACACTCGGATGGGAACAGGTCTTTGACTGACAGGTGAGACAATACATGTGTGGACACAAGTGCTCACAAAATCGGTCCAAAGAGTGTTTGCTATACTCATGAGTGACAGTAGTGTTGAGCACACCATCGATGATATCACTGGACATGTGTTTTGTGTTTATTATAATTATTGCATAACTTTTTGTATACAAAATACACTTTAAAACTAATCATTAATTCAATAATTGAATTTCAATTGACATTTGGTTTGCATTTCACGCGTTTTGTGTTGTCTTTACAGTTAGTGAACACCTATTGATATGAAAATGTGTTAACTGTTAACACTATTAAAGCCTGTATGCAATGTCTGTTAACAGTTTTTGTTAATCAAATGAAATTGAATAAAAAGTTTTAAACTTCAATATAAGCGCATAGTTTTGTAATTCATTTTTATACACTTTTAGTTACACATCATTAAAGTGTGATATAATTATTTAAATAGTCTACTTGTTTATAATTAACCTTATATTTTGTCATAATTATTGTACAGGTATTTGTATTTTTAATTATTATAAATATAATGCAATAATTATTGATTAATTATTTGATGTACCAGAATAGACACCTGCATACAAACATAAGTTACACACTGATTATTGTGTTACCTAGAATACTTTGTATTTAATTGATATAGTTTATTAATTAAACATTTGTAAGCTTCCAGTACATTAAATTTAATTAATTGTGGTCGGATAGAATAATTAGTCATATAATAATAATAACCTTGGAGATTATAATTAAAAATGTTGAATTATTTTTATCAATTGATTGAATTATTGAATAATGTAATTATTGTTGTAATAAGCCTAATAAATACATGTATACGTTTTTCTAAGAATTATGCTACTTTTTACTAAAGTATTGCTATTCTGTTTAAATTGCCTGATTATTAGACACATTGATAATGAATAGTGAGATTACCTACATCATTGTATTACATTCACCATCATCTTATCAATCAAACAGTAACTCTTGTTACTTTGGTTACTTTTTGTTGATGTACGACATTTTTAATCGCATTTATCCTTGTTCAATTATATAAGTATTTTTATACATTAAATATACAGTAATTTTTTCGTGTAAACACTCGATCAAACATATGTATAAATAAATAATTCTTTTGTATAAATAAAGTTTATATTCATATAATTGTAATAAATTGTTTAACAATTACAATATGAGAAAGAAAAATGCAATTAGATTGTGTGACGTTTGCGGTGACCAGGCTATTGGTAAGCAAAATAAATTGACATTAATCAAAAATGAATATTCTTTAAACTAACCTGGTTCAATAGGCAGACACTTCGGGGCCCTGACCTGCAAATCATGTAAACCATTCTTCAGGAGGAATGCTCTTAAAGAAAATGTATAAATATTTAATAAATATTAAAATTATTTTAAAATAATTATATATTTTTCCAATTTTAATTCAATAGACGTTAAAATGCAAATCAAATGGCAATTGTGTTGTGAATCGAGAAACTAGAAAGTCGTGTCGAAAATGTAGATTAGATAAATGCCTGGCGGTTGGCATGAATAAGGTAAATGCCGTGACAATTACCGCCATTTATTTGTATAATTAACTTATAAATTAATTATAAATTGTATTTTAAATGTATTTTTAAGAATAATATACAAAACGAAACGGAAAAACAAATTCGCAAACAAATGATTGAAACAAACAAATTAAAGAAAGACAACCAAAATGTGATACACAATGAATGCCAAACAAACACATGTTTAATGCCATACAAACCCATTGATAATCGCGAAGAAAGTAGCGATCAATTAAGTGATCAATTAAGCGATGAATCCGACAATTTATACCAACAAATGTGTGTCAATAAACGCAAACCCAAAGACTTATTGACACAAGTGTTAGAAATAAATGAGATTATCGACGAAGAGATCGGTTCAGAGATTATCACAACTAAAACATATTTAGTAAACAATGAGAGGACAGAGGGTTGGCGTCAAAAAGTAGTAAATTTGATGGACATGTCGACCAAACCCGTGGCCATCAATAATGTGTTTACGCATTTGGAAAGCATTAACCTTCTGGAAGTGATCAGTAGTTGCAAAGTATACCAAAACTTTATGCTAACCCCATTTAATATCAAAAATCGGGGACATGTATGCAATTTTGCGCTCATGTACTCAATTATGGACTCGTTTTACACCCGAGAGATCCAGAATGTGATTACTTTGTCTAAGAAGTTGTCCACATTTCAAGACCTGTGCGAAGACGATAAGATAGCGCTCATTAAGTACGGCTTCTCCGATATCCTATGCCTCCGGTCTGTCGCCTATTATGATCGGCCCAATGAGTTCTGGACTTTAATTATGGTAAATTTGAAATTTTTGTTTTTACTTGTGTTAAGGTAATAAAATTTTTAATTACAATAAATAGGATAATGGTAACTCGTTTATAGTGAAGTTGGACATTTTGAAATCAATGCGAACCGAACTGTACAACACTTATAAAACTAATTTACATAATGTTTGCGGCGAATGGGATTCAGACCCCGTTATATTAGATATGGTAATGAGCATGCACAATTTTAATTATATAATTTATGTCTATTGAATTGAATTAAAAATTAATTTGATCAGTTGACAGCTATAGCGCTATTTAACCCAACCCGACCCAATCTTATTAAACGGGATGTCATTAAGTAAGTAATGGTTATTTTAAAAAACTAAAAACTGATTGAATCTAATTAAATATGAATTGAACTTGCTTGTAGATTACAACAAAACATATACCTCTATTTACTTCAACGCTATCTGGTATATAAATACGGGGGTGAAAGTGGGGGTAAAATAAAGTTTTTACGGCTATTGAATACATTGGAAGACATCTACACTATGGGTCAGATCCAGCTTAAGAACAACTCCGATGAAAATGCCAATAACTTCAGTCCACTCGTCAGAGAGATGTATGACATGAAACCCAAATAGTGATAAAGTTGTGCTCATGTTTTCATTTGATTTAGTTTTAGTATAAAATTATTTTTTATGATAAATTATTGTAACAAATGTATGATATATTAAATCATAAAATAGTATTGCAAAAATGTGCTTGATTGTTTTGAGTTTAAATTATAACTTTGAAAGTCAAATGTGATTTTATTTATATTTTTATGTTTACACCAATGGTAATTATAAATCTATTTGCTTACAAAGTATTTATTGGTAAATTACTAATCAAATAGAGATCAAGTTTATAAATTAATAAAGTGTTGGTTTTATGACATAAACCAGAATAGCATTTAAAATTGTAATTTAATTTACTGTTAAAATAGTATAAATTAAAACGACATTGATGCCTATTAATCGTTATCATATTTATTAGTTGTTATCATATCGTATGCATCAATATTAATAAAAATAAAAAGTCAGTATAAGTATCTCAACATTTTAAGTTGTTGTGCTCTTGATAAAATATTATTTCTTAAAAACTCATGTGAATACAAAATATTTACTTAAATTAATAATTTGTAAATTTATAATATATTTTATAATTAATAAGTACTACGTTTTATCACATTTTAATTGATTAATTACATTAAATTAATAACTAAATGGATAATGAAGTGAAACTTTGCGCCGTTTGCGGTGATATAGGGATTGGTATGAAAAACTTAAATTAAATTTATTGCAATTTATTTAATGACATGTATGTTTAGGGAACCACTTCGGGGCCCAAACCTGCAAATCCTGTAAACCATTCTTCAGGAGAAATGCACTCAATTATGAGGTAATTGTTATTAATTGCGATAAATTGTTCAACAAATTTACCGAAATATTGTTTGATTTATTTTGCAAAAGGAGTTTAAGTGCAGAATTGATAACAAATGTGTTATTGATATCAAGACTCGCCGGTCGTGTCGGAAGTGTAGACTCGATAAATGCCTGTCTGTAGGCATGAAACCAGTTATGTATTATATGATTAGCCATTGATTTGTTTGTAAAATTAATTGTGATTTAAATTATTGTTATTATAGGAGAGAATTCAAAGCGAAAGTCAGAAAGAAATTGTCAGAAATAAAATTCAAGCGAAATATAAGGAATGGATACAAAATTGCGGATCAAATGCCGGCGAAGACACCACGTGTACCGCCGAAGAATACATCAATGATTTTTGCAAAGAAATTGATTGTCAAATAAGTAACGAAAAGATTGATTTGTTAGATATCGATGAAATCAATGATGAGTTTACCAGTGATCAGGAGTTAACAAATGATTTTTGCACCGAATTGCATGATAAAGACAATGACCATCAGGAAATATCTAAACTAATGAACGAGATTGTGGTTTATAACCATAAAAACACTAACCAAACAAACAATATCGTTGTTTATGAGCCACCGGTTGGGCCGATAGCACGAAACACTCACTTCACAGAATGGGATGATTTCAGACTCATAGAGATAATCAATTATCACAAAACAAGTGACATTATATGCAAACCCAGATTCAAATCCATACAATTTGTTGACATAAAACAATGGTATTCAGTGATGGGTATGGCTTACGGCCTCGATGTCCAGAAACAGGTGGAAATGGCCACATATTTACGAGCATTTCAGGGCATTTGCGAAAACGATAGGATAGCGCTGATAAAGTACGGGTGGTTTACACTACTTTGTTTGCACGCAATGTCCTATTATGATAATAATGGTGAAAAATGGACAATGCAGTTGGTAAATAATACACACTTGCTTCACTTATAATTAATTTATGTTGGTTAAAATTGATAGGATGATGATCATGCGGGTGTATTGGAGCTCGAGTTATTTAAATACCATAAACACAATGTATATTGCGCTTACAAATTGTTTTTAGGACGAGTGATCCCGGAGTGGGATAACGACCCGATATTATCGTATCTGGTATTTTGATTTTTGCTAGATGAAACGGACTATGTTTTACAATGTTTAATTAAATATATAGTTAAGGGCGATCGTGTTGTTTGATCCAAACCGCAAACATCTCATCAATAAAAATGAAATAAAGTGAGCATGATCGTATGAAATATATAAAATTAACTAGCTAACTATTAAATTACTAAATTCATTTACAGAGTGCAGCAAAACAATTACATTCATACACTTCAGCGCTATTTACTGAACAAATATGGGGCCGAATGTGAGGCAAAGCTAAAGTTTCTACAATTATTAAACTTTTTACACGACATCTCTTATGTCTCACAAATTGAATTCATTGAGACATTCAATGATAGAAAGCATATTGATTTTGGACCACTTTGTAGGGAATTAATGGACATTTAAATAATATTGATTTTTATTATTTACAACATCGATGTAATCAATAAATCTGTTAATAATCTGTTATTAGTTGTTGATCTAATAAATTATAAAAGTAATAACTTAATGACTTATAATTTACTTTATTATTTTACTTTATCCTGTTACTTTAAGTAAATAGAAATATTTTATTCGTATGTTTATTAAACAAATAATGTTGATGTTTTAAAATATAAATATTTTAAATTTAGTACCAATAAATGATTATTGGCTATAATTTAACCTTCAATAAGACCTTCATTAGATTATGCTTAAGTTACCAACTAATTGGTATTAAGAATTGGTATGGGTAGCTTGTATTTCATAAATTGCGTGCAACCAATTTAATTATATGTATGCATGCAATGTTGAAATGTTGTGTTTATAAATATATTTAGTTATTATATAATTTTAATGTTAATATCAAAACAAAATAATTTAGTTATACTTTTTAAATAATATTTACACCATTTTACAAAATTTAGATAAATGTTATTCTTTATTATACATGTATATTTGTATGATTTGGTATAATTGCATAAAATTATAGTCAAATTATACAAGTATTGTGTTTTTATAATTAATTGAATGAAAATTGCATAAAACTAATTATTATAAGATATGGATGAAGTGATAATATTATGTGCCATTTGCGGCGATACAGCAGTCGGTAAGTATTCAAATAAATATCCTGATCATCAATAACTAATTTTAAACAATATTAATTGTATGAAATCTAATTATTAAGGCAAACACTTCGGAGTTATGGCCTGTAAATCATGTAAACCATTCTTTAGGAGAAATGCCCTCAAAGATAATGTACAATAAATTTATATTATATTTGTTATATTGTCTAAAACTATTAATGTAAATAATATTTAAATAATAGGTTTTCAAATGTAAACTCAATGGTAAATGTGTTATAAATCGTGAAACAAGAAAATTGTGCCGAAAATGTCGATTAGACAAGTGTCTGGCCGTTGGCATGAAAACAGTTAATACTAATAATCATTGATTAAAATTTTGTATAAATAATTATTTAATTTTCATTCATTAGGAATGTATTATGAATGACGAGGAAAAACAATACAGAAATCAATTGATTCAACAAAATAGACAAAAGAGACAACAATTACATCAAAATCACAACAAAACTAATTTTAATAATATTTTAGAAGAAATAGATTTACAAAACATTACGAATATTGAGATGAATGACAAGTCTATGGATGACATTATCTTCTCGCCGACATTGGATGACAATAAATGTATGAATGAATTGTCGGATATTATATGCAATGAAGAGACAGATGAAGACGTGTCTAACAATTATACAAATGACTTAATCGTATCAAACGTTATAAACAATAACTTTAATTATTCATTAAATCCTGAATTATCATTGATTTCAACGGGGAATCAGTTGTCGTCAGTTTTCACCGAAAGGGAAAATAAGAGATATTTAGAGCTATTCCGGGCGTCGAGATATGCTTACCATAATGTTATGAACAAATCGACGGCAATAATACATAATTCAATTGATATGAATTCAATTACTGACCAGTTTTACAACAGAGAGATCGGAGAAGTGATAAAACTGTCCAACAGTTTGGGTCCGTTTCAAGAGATGTGCGCTAACGACAGGTTAGCACTCGTGAAGTACGGCTGTCTTGATATCATTATATTAAGATGTATAGAATATTATGATTTACCTCAACAACAGTGGACTGTAGTTCTGGTAAAGTGTTTTAGTGATTAAAAATTTGTTTTTAATTAAATGATTTGATAATTGTTAGGATGAAAACAACTCGTTGTTAATATCGTTGGAAATGTTTGCTAATAATAACATGGATTTGTATAACGCATATAAAACTCATTTCCATAGGGCTTGTGCTGAATGCGATTCCGATGCCGTTGTCTTGGATTTGGTATTAAATTTATTTGATATATTAATTATTTTAAGTTATATTTAGCCAACATTTGTATTGCATTTACAGTTGACTGCAATCATACTCTTCAGTCCCGACCGACAGAATCTAATGCATAGAAATGTTGTTAAGTAAGTGTTTAATGAATAAAAGTAATTATATTTTTAACGATTAATGTAATTTTATTTTGTATTTTTTAATAGACTTCAGCAAAACATTTACATATATTTATTGCAACGATATTTGTATTTAAAATACGGGACAAAATATGAGACAAAATTTATAAACATTTTGGAAGTAATAAAAGACATCAAAATTTTGAGTAAAACACAAATGCGGATCAATTGCGGAGAAAAAGTCGATTATTTCGGACCACTTTGTCAGGAGTTGTTTGATATGAAATCATACCAACCATCAAACGATCATTTATTAATCAATGTTTGATTAAATTAAATTAAAAATTTTACTTTCATTCATTCATTAAATTTAATATAATATAAAGGTTTTATTTAACAAAAATATTGTTTCTTTAAATGACATTTTTAAAAATTAAAAATTATTCATAAAACAGTTGAAAATTCATTGAAAAGAAGTCAAATGTTTAAAACATTTGATGCAAAACACTAAGTCAAAGAAATGAGTTCCAGAAGAAAGCGTGTCATGAATGATGACATTCTGGGATTCATATTAAAAGATTTGAATATCAATGACTTGTTTGCATTACAACGAGTGTCACAACAGTTCAACGACTGCTCACAAGAAGCGCTTCGGAGAAGAAGTAAAGTCAGCGTTGGATTCAATGATGTGAAGGCGAGTTCAATGATAAGATGTTTTAATTGGAGTTTTGAAGTGAATGATTGGCATCTCATTGATATCACACAAGCGATCAACACATCACTGAAAGGCATTGATATGGCTTTGGGTAAAGAATATAGACTCGAATCTATTGTCCGTCAATTTCGTGGAGTAAAAGAATTATATCTGTTTACAACTGTAATCAGTTTCAAGACATTAGAGCTGATTGTCAATCAGTGGCCACATCTCAAGAAAATCCGCATTTATAACATCGAAGTCTTGGACTCCAATCAGACAATCACCGAATGGGCACAACTTCTATCAAAAGTCAAATACATATCCATTGGAAGTATTGATACAAAATATGTGTCAATTTTGACAAATATTATTCAAAGAATGCCATCATTGGTTGATCTCAGGGTTTGGGGCTATAAACCAAACATATCGGACCAAAAGATTACACTATCATTACTGACTGATTCTATGCCGGAAGACTTGCGACTCCTATACATCGGCGTCACTTCAGCGGACAGTCAGGCCATTGATGTGATCACAAGTAAATGCACACAAATAAAGAAACTATTCATTTATGAATCGTGCCTACAATCACATCCTGTAGATATTGATCTCTGGAACCAATGGTTTGCATTGATCTGCGATCGACTCAAATGTTTGATAAGATTTAACACTCGTTTGGGAGGAATTTCTGCCAAGAATTTTGCTCAAAGTATAGCAAAACTCAAAGAGTTAAAAGTGCTGGAAATCACTGACAAGTCATATGAATGGATCCAATGTATGTGTTTCGACACTCAAGAGATGGCCAAATATATGCAACCAATGGTATCGTTGAAAGAACTATCGCTGGACGGACTTAAGTGTTCACCGAATCGGTGGTCAAATTTGTCCCAAATGTTGCCAAATGTGCGCAAATTCAGTATCAGTAACATTAGTTATGACACCGACTGCAAGGATAAGTATAGCTGTAATCTATGTTTCTATCGGTGTATGAAAAGAGTGTCAAAACTGCCGAAATTGAAACATTTGGTTATATTTAGTGCTCCAAAGAATAGCCACTCACCACATATTCTTGAACTCTTCACTCGTGTCGATCGGCTAAGTATTCATTTTGTTGACGAAGAACTGATCCAAGTGTTGATCACTTTTCTGACCGAAACACTGGCCAATAGGCGGCGAGTATTCAGATTGGATTTGTTGCCAATCGTGAAGAGACAACTGATCCAAAAGATGGAAGAAATGAATGTCTCAATGCCTGAGAGTGTGATTACAAGCCATGTCTTCAACAGACGAGAGGAATACGAGTAACAGTTTATCGGTGTCTCAAACCTATCTCTTCGCACATTTTATCCATATTTTGAGAAATAAATTTCATTTAAACACAAGTTCTTACAAAATAAAGCGTTTGAATACAGAGAATATTCATTAAATAAACATTTCTTATAAAACCAAAAGTTTTTTTTAAAAATATTATCACTAAAAATGTTGCAAAAACTATATACAGTAATTAAAAAGTAATTTTATAATTTATCACTTCTTTATAACAATAAAAAAGTTTCAAACTAATTTATAAAATAAATCTAACCGTCAATTTATACAAATCATAAATTCAAACATTTTTTTGAAAAGTATTCAAAGAATATAAAGAAGTGGTGAAGAAATCAAACGCAAAGACATGAATGAAATGAATGGCCAGAGAAGTGATGTCATGAATGATGACATTCTGGGCCTTATATTCAAGTATTTCGATATCAAAGACTTGTTTGGTTTGCAACGAGTGTCACAACAGTTCAGGGATTGTTCACAAGAAGTACTCAAAAGGAAGAGAGAAATGAGCGTTGGATTCAATGATCTGAAGACCGGGTCTGTGATAAGAAATTTTAAACAAAACTTTGAGGTCAAAGACTGGAATCGCTTAGACATAACACCAGCGATCACTTCCAAAGACATTGATCTCACATTGGATTACAGCAGAAAACACACTATTGATCGCAGACTCGAGACAATTGTCCGCCAATTCTGTGGCGCAACGGAGTTATATCTGTCTTCAACTGTAATCACTTTTAAGACAATGCAGTTGTTTGTCAATCAGTGGCCACAACTCGAGAGTATAAATATCTATGACATTAAGATCTATGGCTCGAGTGATCAGACAATCACCGAATGGATAGAACTTCTGTCAAAAGTAAAACAACTAAAGATCGGAAGTATTGACACAAAATACGTGCCGTCTCTGAAATATATGATCAAAAATCTACCATCACTTCAAACATTAAATGTAGGGCCGGAAGCGTTCAGTCAAAACATCACACTATCAATACTCACCGATTGCTTACCCGAAAACATACGATACCTACACATCGGTGTGTCATCGATGGACAGTCAGGCCATCGATGTTATCACAAGTAAATGCCAACAAATACGTAAATTATCTATTTGTGATAATCCGGAACAAATCGTCGACAGTGATCTCTGGAGCCAATGGTTTGCAATGATTTGCGATCGACTCAAACAGTTGACGCATTTGAAAGTCATTTTGGGAGACATTTCCGCCAAAGATTTTGCCCAAAGTATCGCAAAACTCAAAGACTTAAAGAAACTGGAAATTAGTGACAGCGAAGGGATGCCGGGAATGTGTTTCGACACACAAGAGTTGGCCAAATATATGCCGCCAATGGTGTCGTTGCGGTCGTTATCACTGTATGGACTGAAGTGTTCGCCGAATCGGTGGTCAAATGTGGCCCAAATGTTACCAAACGTACGCCATCTGAGTCTCAGTTTCATGGATTGGAGTATGGATTGCAACGAAGGAGACGATTGTAAAGAGTGTTTCCATCGGTGTATGGATTTAGTGTCAAAAGTGCCGAAATTGAAATACATTTCTGTAAGTCTTTTAACCAATGATAACATTTCACGGCAGACATTGAGACTCTTTGCATCACTGGATCGGCTGAGCGTTGATGTGTATTATGAAAATATGTACTTTACAAGAGCACTATGGATACTGGAATTGATTAGTTTTATGACCGAAACACTGGCCAATAGGAGACGAATATTCAAATTGGATTTGTTGCCAATCGTGAAGAGAGAACTGATCCAAAGGATGGACACAATGAATGTCTCAATGCCTGAGAGAGTGGTTATGGGCCATGTCTTCACTACTATAGATGCCGAACAATGAGTGATCAATCGGTGCCTCAAAACAAGTTATTCTTCAATTTCATAGATATTTTAAGAAATAAATCTCATTTTAAATAAAAGTTTAAAATCAATTAAAGTTTTGGTCAATTCATATGAAAAATACTACCAAATTATATTCTAATTTATCACATTTAGTGTTTAGTCTAATTTATAACTTTATTTCCGTAAACTCCCCCTAAAATCAGTTTTAGCACAAAAGTTTGTATTGTGTTTACAGTTAACTGCACTTATATTCTTCAGTCCCGACCGACAGAATCTAATGCATAGAAATGTTGTTAAGTAAGTGTTGTTTTGAAAATTTGTGAAAAATTTAATAATATTGTAGCAATTAATATTAAATTTTGCATTTTATTTCTTGTAGTTAATAAACATTTTTAAATAGATTTCAGCAAAACATTGACATATATTTATTGCAACGATATTTGTATTTGAAATGTGGGACAGAATTTGAGACAAAATCTAATTTTGTTCGCATTTTTGACGCAATCAAAGAGATTAAAGGTTTGGGAAAAATGAAGGAAAAACTCAATGCATAGAAAACGCCGATAATTTTAGACCACTTTTTCGGGAAATATTTTATTTCAATTCATATAAAACAACAAATCATTTATATGTTAGTTAATTATTATAATAAATGTATGAATAACTGATATATTGTTTCTTTAAATGCCATTTTTGAAAATATAAAAAATAATTTAAAAGTTTTTAACGAAAAAACTAATTTAACAAAACGGTTAAAGATTTAAAATTAATATTGAAAAGTATTCAAATGTTTTAAACAATTGATGCAAAAAACAAAATCAAAGATGAGTTCCAGAAGAAAGCGTGTCATGAATGATGACATTCTGGGATTCATATTAAAAGACTTGGATCTCAAAGACTTGTTTTCATTACAACGAGTGTCACAACAATTCAGCCGTTGTTCACAACAAGAATTTCTGAGAAAAAGTAAAGTAAGCGTTGGATTCAATGCTCTGAAGACGAGCTCAGAGTTAAGATATTTCAATCGCAACTTTGAAGTGAATGATTGGCATCGCATAGACATCACACATGCGATCACCACATCATTGAAAGGCATTGATATGGCTTTGGGTAAAGAACATAGACTCGAGTCTATTGTCCGCCAATTCCTTGGAGTAAAGGACTTATATCTGTCGACAACTGTAATCAGTTTCAAGACATTAGAAGTGATGGTCAATCAATGGCCACATCTCAAGAAACTTCTCATTTATGACATCGAAGTATTTGACTCCAATGACCAGAAAATACCCGAATGGGCACAACTCCTATCAAAAGTGAAACACATATCAATCGGAAGTATTGATACAAAATATGTGTCATTTTGGACAAACATTATTCAAAGAATGTCTTCATTGGTTGGTCTCAGTGTGTGGGGCGACAAACCAAACATATCGGACCAAAACATCACACTATCACTATTGACAGATTGTTTGCCGACAAACTTGCAATTTCTACGCATTGGCGTGTCTTCAACGGACAGTCAGGCCATTGATGTGATCACAAGTAAATGCCCGCAAATAAAGAAACTAGCTATTTATGAGTCGTCAGTAAAATCAAGTCCTGTAGAGATGGATCTCTGGAACCAATGGTTTGCATTAATCTGCGATCGACTCAAGTGTTTGACATATTTGTTCACTCGTTTGGGAGGCATTTCCGCCAAAGATTTTGCCCAAAGTATAGCAAAACTTAAAGACTTAAAAGTGCTGTACATTAACGAAAGTTCCAATGAATGGATCCAAAGTATGTGTTTCGACACCCAATCGATGGCCAAATATATGCCGCCAATGGTGTCGTTGAAGACACTATCGCTTTCGGGATTCAAGTGTTCACCGAATCGGTGGTCAAATTTGGCTCAAATGTTTCCAAATGTGCGCACATTTAGTGTCGATAACATGTGTTATGAGAACGATTGCAATGACGGATATTATTGTAGTTTATGTTTCTATCGGTGTATGGATTTGGTGTCAAAACTGCCGAAATTAAAACATTTTGTTATATTTTGTGTTTTGAATAAAGGCATCTCATGGCATATACTGGAACTCTTTGCTGGTGTCGATCGGCTAAGTATTGATAGGGAAGTAAATGAAGATCTGATGGAAGTATTGATCCATTTTCTGACCGAAACACTGGCCAATAGGCGACAAGTATTCCGATTGGATTTATTGCCTAAAGTTAAGAGACAACTGATCCAAAGAATGGCGACAATGAATATCCCAATTCCTAAGATTTTGATTGTAAGTCATGTCTTCAATACTCGAGATGAATACCAATGATTGCTTATCATTGTCTCAAACCTATATCTCAGCAGATTTTATCCATATATTGGGTAATAAATATTATTTGAGCGCAAGTTATTACAAAATAAAAAGATTAAACACAAATTAAGGACAATATAAATTCAAAGAATATTTATTATATTAAACAACTATTTTTTACAAAACCCAATTTTTAAATGTTATATTTGTAAATACAATTAAAACATGACATAAATATTTTTCACTTTTTTATAACAATAAAATAGTTTTAAAATAATTCATAAACCAAATCTAACCGTCAATTCAATTGAACACAATTTTCAAATTCAAGCATTTCTTTGAAAAGTATTCAAAGAATATGAAGAAGTGTTGAAGAAATCAAAGGCAAAGATATGAATGAAATGAATGGCCAGAGAAGTGATGTCATGAATGATGACATTCTGGGCCTTATATTCAAGTATTTAGATATCAAAGACTTGTTTGGTTTGCAACGAGTGTCACAACAATTCAGGGATTGTTCACAACAAGTGCTTCAGAGAAGACGTAAAGTAAGCTTTGGATTCAATGATCTGAAGGCGAGTTCACTGTCAAGATGTTTAAACTATAATTTTGAAGTGAATGATTGGCATCGCATAGACATCACACAAGCAGTCAACACATCACTGAAAGGCATTGATATGGCTTTGGGTATAGAATATAGACTCGAGTCTATTGTCCGACAATTCCGTGGAGTAAAGGACTTATATCTGTCGACAACTGTAATCAGTTTCAAGACATTAAAGCTGATCGTCAATCAGTGCCCACACCTTAAGAAACTCCGGATTCATACGATCGATGTCCACACAACACAATCCAATGACCACACAATCACCGAATGGGCACAACTCCTGTCAAAAATCAAACACATATTCATTGGAAGTATTGATGGAAAATATGTGTCATTTGTGGCAAATATTATACGGAATATGTCATCATTGGTTGGTCTCAGTGTCTTGTGTTTTAAGCCAAACATATCGGACCAAAACATATCACTATCATTACTGACAGATTATTTGCCGACAAACATGAGATACCTATACATCGGCGCCACATCAGTGGATAGTCAGGCCATCGATGTTATCACAGGTAAATGCCAGCAAATAAGGAAACTAACCATTTTTGGGTCCGTACACATCAATCCGGTAGAGAATAATCTCTGGAAACAATGGTTTGTTATGATATGCGATCGACTCAAGTGTTTGACACATTTGTACATTCGATTGGGAGAGATTTCTGCCAAGAATTTTGCCAAAAATATAGTAAAACTCAAAAATTTAAAAGACCTTAAAATTATTGATTGTTCACAAGAACCGATCCCAAGAATGTATTTCGACACTCAAGAGATGGCCAAATATATGCGGCCAATGGTATCGTTGAAGACACTATCGCTTTCGGGACTAAAGTGTTCACCAAATCGGTGGTCAAATTTGGCTCAAATGTTGCCAAATGTTCGTAAATTGAGTATTAAATACTTGCGTTACGGCTCGGACTGTAAGGACGGAGAGTTTTGCGATATATGTTTCTATCGGTGTATGGATTTGGTGTCAAAAATGCCGAAATTAAAACATTTAGTACTTTCGTATTTGTATGATATATGCATTTTAAAGCATACACTGGAACTCTTTGCTGGTGTGGATCGGCTAAGTATTGATAGCGACCCGGAGGAAGAATTGATCAAAACGTTGATCAGTTTTATTTCCGAAACACTGGCCAATAGGCGGCGAGTATTGCGATTGGATTTGTTGCCAATCGTGAAGAGACAACTGATCCAAAGAATGGTGACAATGAATATTCCAATGCCTGAGTGTGTGATTGTGAGCCATGCATTCAATGTTAGCGATGAGTACCAATAACTTCTTATCGGTGTTTCAAACCTATCTCTTCGCAACTTTTTATCCATATTTTAAAAAATGAATTTCATTTAAACACAAGTCCTTAAGAAATAAAGAATTTGAATGAAAATTAAAGCCATTTATTTACAATACAGAGAATATTCATTAAATGAAACAATAATTTCTTTTATAATTTCTTTACAACCAAAAGTTGTATTAAAAATGTTATCACATTTTTATTTTGCATTAATGTTGGATTATATGTTTGCAAAAAATATAATTTAAAAAATGATTTTATTATTTATCACTTTTGAGTTATAACAATGAAATAGTTTAAAACTAATTTATAAACCAAATCTAACCGTTAGTTCAATTGAAAAGTTTTAATTCAATTTACAAATTCAAGCATTTCTTTGAAAAGTATTCAAAGAATATGAAGAAGTGTTGAAGAAATCAAAACCAAAGATATGAATGAAATGAATGGCCAGAGAAGACATGTCATGAATGATGACATTCTGGGCCTTATATTCAAGTATTTGGATCTCAAAGACTTGTATTCATTACAACGAGTGTCACAACAATTCAACGATTGTGTGAAAGAAGTACTGCAAAAGAAGACAGAAGTGAGCGTTGGATTCAATGATCTAAACTCGTACTCATATTCAGCCATATTTGGACATTTTCTGCGGAGCATTGAAGACAAAGACTGGAATCGCATAGACATCACACCAGCGATCACTTTGACAAATATTGATATCGCTATGGATTACAACAAACAGAATAGATTCGAGTCTATTGTCCGCCAATTCCGTGGCGTAAAGAAGTTATATCTGTCGTCAACTGTAATCAGTTTCAAGACATTACAGCTATTCGTCAATCAGTGGCCACAACTCGAAGAAGTCTACGTCAATGATATCGATATCTATCGCTCAAGTAATCAGACAATCACCACATGGACACAACTTATGTCAAAAGTCAAACACATTACTATCGGAATTGTCAAAAGAAAATATATGCCATTTATGAGAGATATTATCACACAATTGCCATCACTTCGAAGTGTGACTGCTTTTCGTTTTAAGGAATACCCGTCCAATCAGACCATTACTGATATATCTCTATCATTATTGATTGAGTGTTTGCCCGAAAACATCCAATGCCTGCACATCGGTATCAATGCAATGGACAGTCAGTCGTCTCTGGATGTGATCACAAGTAAATGTCCGCAAATTAGGAAACTATCCGTTTATGAGCCCTGCATTCACTCAACTCAAGTAGAGAATAATCTCTGGAAACAGTGGTTCGCAATGATCTGCGATCGACTCAAAGCACTCAAGTGTTTGAAGTTTATTTTGTTCAACATTTCAGCCAAAGAATTTGCCGAAAGTATTGCAAAATTAAAATATTTACAATCACTTCGCATCGGTTCCAACAACTGGCTCTCTGAATCCGATTATGAGTTGCAAATGTGTTTCGACACTCAAGAGATGGCCAAATATATGCAGCCAATGGTATCGTTGAAAACATTATATCTAAAGTCATTGAAGTGTTCGCCAAATCGGTGGTCAAATTTGGCCCAAATGTTGCCAAATGTCCGCCAATTGACTGTCGATTTCATGTTATATGACTCGGAGTGCGGTTACGGAGCGGACGACTACTTCTCCGACTGTAAAGAGTGTTTCCATCGGTGTATGGATTGGGTGTCAAAAATGCCGAAATTAAAACATGTGATCCTCAGTCATGTGTTCAAAGATCGCATCACAAGACATGTTCTCGAGCTCTTTGCAGGTGTGGATCAGTTGAGCATTAATGAAAGATTTTATGGTAATCAGATCGAAGTGTTGATCCACTTTTTGACTGAAACACTGGTCAATAGGCGGCGAGTATTGCGATTGGATTTGTTACCGGAAGATAAGAGAGAACTGATCCAAAGGATGGACACAATGAATGTCTCAATGCCTGAGTGTGTGATTGTAAGCAATGTCTCCACAAGATATCATGTTAGTGTTTACCAGTGATTAATTTATTGGTGTCTCAAACCTATCTCTCCGTCAATTTTATCCATATTTAGTAAAATAAATCTCATTTAAAACACAAGTTCTTAAGAAATAAAGAAAACGAATAAAAATGAAATCAATTAATAAAACAGAGAATATTCATTAAAATAACTATTTCTTATAAAACCGCAAATTATTGTAAAAATATCGATAAAAATGAAATGAATGGCCAGAGGAGTGATGTCTCAGGCATTTGACTTTAATTGTTAGACTTATTAACTGAAGTTTTACAATAGCTATACATAACTGTAATGTTAAATATAAAGTCTTAATACTTTATACGCAAAACACTCGCGATTTGTAATAATTAGTAAGTATTTGAAAATAGTTTACAAATAAATCAAATAACCATTAATTCAGTTATTGTTTTCACATATATTTTGTAAATTCAGTATTCATTGGAAAAGTAATCAAAGAATCAAAAGAAGAGTTGAAGACATCAAAGGCTAAGACATGAATGCAATGAATGGCCAGAGAAATCATGTCATGAATGATGACATTCTGGGACTCATACTAAAGAGATTAGATACCAAAGACTTGTTGTGTTTGCAACGAGTGTCACAACAATTTGATTATTGTGTGAAAGAAGTACTGCAGAAGAAGAAAGAAGTGAGCATTGGATTCAATGATCTGAAGACAAACTCAGAGTTAAGAGGTTTTAAACACAACTTTGAAGTCAAAGACTGGAAGCGCATTGACATCACACCAGCGCTGCTCTACAATGGCTTTGATCTGACATTAGATGGCAACCGAACCCTTAGACGCGAGTCAATTGTCCGGAAATTTCGTGCCGTAAAGACTTTATATCTGGTGTCGACTGAAATCAGTTTCAAGACATTAGAGTTTATCGTTAATCAGTGGCCACAACTCGAGAAGCTCTCAGTCTATAACATCAATATCGATGACATGAATGACAAGACAATCACCGAATGGACACAACTGTTATCAAAAGTCAAATGCATTACTATTGGAAATATTGCCACAAAATATGTGCCATTTTTGACAAATATCATTCAAGAGTTGTCAACACTTCAAAGTCTAAGCTTATGGCCAAAAGCAGTCAACCAAAAGATCACACTATCATTACTGACCACTTGTTTGCCGGCAAACATACAGTGCCTATACATTGACGTGCCTTTAATGGACAGTCAGGCCATGGATGTGATCACAAGAGAATGCCCTCAATTGCGGAAACTATCTGTTTATAGAAATGGCGAGCAGTCGACCCCCGAAGAGATGATTGTCTGGAACCAAGTGTTTGCTATGATATGCGATCGTCTTAAGTGTCTCACATTTTTGGGCATCAGTTTGGGAGACATTTCGGCCAAGAATTTGGCCAAAAGTATCGCAAAACTCAAAGACATTACAAAACTTCACATCAAAGCCTTCGGTCTGTCAGATGAAGAGTTTCCGTTGACGTGTTTCGACACCCAATCGATGGCCAAATATATTCCGCCAATCGTGTCGTTGCGGTCGTTATCACTACAGGAACTCAAGTGTTCGCCGAATCAGTGGACAAATTTAGCTGAAATGTTGCCAAATGTGCGCAAAATGACACTCAATTTCATGGAGTGGTTCGGTTTCAACGCTGCCAACGGGTTTCTCGACTGCGATCAGAGCTTCAATCAGTGCATGCATTGTGTGTCACAACTGCCCCAATTGCAAGACTTGTCTGTCAGTACTTATTTTGAAGACAATTTTTCTGAAGAGACACTAAATCTGTTTGCATGTGTGGATCGGCTCAGCATCGGCTCCACATTAGAAGAAGATTTTATCGAAGATAAGATTGCTTTTCTGTCGCAAACGCTGACCAATAGACGACGAGTATTCCGAATCAATTTGTTGCCTAAAGCGAAGAGACAACTAATCCAAAGGATGGAAGAAATGAATGTCTCAATGCCTGAATGTGTGATTGTGGGCCATGTCTTCAGTATGAAAATTAATGAGTGATCAATCGGTGCCGCAAAAGTTATTCTTCATTTTCACAGATATTTCAAGAAATAAATATTATTTTTAAATCTGATTACTTTTGAAATAAATATTTCTAAAATCAATTGCTTTTTTGATAATTTAATTTTAATAATTTATAAGTAAATAATATAACTAAACAGAAAACCCGTAAATATATTAATATTGAAACAAAATGTCTGTAAAAATGTTAATAATTCAAAGATTCAATACAATAGTGTTTCCCAATTGTCAGTCTTATTAAAATAAAATATATTTCAAATTTAAAGAATATAAACCTGTTTTGTAAAACATATTTAAAGTTAGACTCAAAATTTCCAATTAAAATCCGGTGAATATATTCTGTATTTGATTGACATTAGACTTGATTTTTATACAAATCCTAAATTAAAGAGTGGTTTCAAATCTAGATATTATATTCAAAAAAGTTACGCAAATGTTTAACTCAAATATAATTATAACAAAAATATATTTTATTAAAACAAAACATTTAATAATAATATTGAATTGTATTTCATTTTTCATTTGTTTTTTACAATCGCATGCAATAATCAATTGAATGCCTAATACTTTAAGTTCAATCAGATTTTAAATTATTTATAACGAATTCAAAATCAATTTATTTTTGAAAAGTAATCAAATGTTAATTAAAAACAAATAAAATTAAAAAATGAGTTCCAGAAGAAGACATGTCATGAATGATGACATTCTGTTGGATATATTCAAGTATTTAGATATCAAAGACTTGTTTGGTTGGCAACGAGTGTCACAACAATTCAGTCGTTGTTCACAAGGAGTGCTTCGGACTAAGAAAAGAGTGAGCATTGGATTCAATGATTTGGAGAGGACTTCAGGGTTAAGACGTTTTAACCGAAGTTTTGATGCCGAGGACTGGAATCGCGTAGACATTACACCAGCGCTGCTCTTCAATGGCCTCGATTTGACACTAAATTACAACAGAATCCTTAGACTCGAGTCAATTGTCCGTCAATTCCGTGCCGTTAAGACGTTATATCTGTCGTCGACTGAAATCAGTTTCGAGACAATGGAGTTGTTTGTCAATCAGTGGCCACATCTCGAGAAACTCTCAGTCTATAACATCAATATCGATGACATGAATGGCAAGACAATCACCGAATGGACACAACTGTTATCAAACGTCAAACGCATAACCATTGGAAATATTGCCACAAAATGTGTGCCATTTTTGACAAATATTATTCAAGAGTTATCAACACTTCAAAGTCTAAGCTTATGGCCAAAAGCAGTCAACCAAAAGATTACACTATCATTACTGACCACTTGTTTGCCGGTAAACATACAGTGCCTATACATCGACGTGCCTTTGATGGACAGTCAGGCCATGGATGTGATCACAAGTAAATGCTCTCAATTACGAGAACTATCTCTTTGTAATAATAGCGAGCATTCGTTCCCCGAAGAGATTATTGTGTGGAACCAAGTGTTTGCTATGATCTGCGATCGTCTTAAATGTCTTACATTTTTGGACATCAGTTTGGGAGACATTTCGGCCAAGAATTTGGCCAAAAGTATCGCAAAACTTAAAGACATCAGAAATCTTATCATAAGAGCCGTAAAGGCGTTAAGTTTTCAAAACACTACGAGAATGTGTTTTGATACTCAAGAGATGGCCAAATATATGCAGCCAATGGTATCGTTGCGATCGCTATCTCTGCACGAACTGAGATGTTCGCCGAATCGGTGGTCAAATTTGGCCCAATTGTTCCCAAATGTGCGCAAATTGACACTCAGTGACATGTATTGGCACAACGATTGCATTGATTATCCCTATTGTAATATAAAGTGTGAAGATCTGTGTATGGATTGTGTGTCAAAATTACCCAAATTGAAACACATTTGTTTCTGTTCGCACGTTTCGCGGCAAACATTGAAACTCTTTGCTTCAGTGGATCGGCTGACCATTGATAAGGTTGGCGGAGGTTATCAGATACAAGAAGAGCTCATTGGTTTTCTGACCGAAACACTGGCCAATAGGCGGCGTGTATTCCGATTGGATTTATTGCCTGAAGTCAAGAGAGAACTGATCCAAAGAATGGACACAATGAATGTCTCAATGCCTGAGAGTGTGATTGTGGGCCATGTCTTCAGCATTACTGAATACGACTCCTATTCTTATGGCTTATCCACTGAGTCTATAACCTATCCCTAAATTTGTTTAACTATTAAATCGATTTAAAACTAATTTAAACACATATTTCAATATTTCGTACAAAATTCTATTTGTGATAAAACTATCGGTCAAAATGTTTTGTAACACCCAATATAAAAAAACAACATTAAGTTATGTTTAACTCTCTTTATAACAATAAAATATTTAAAAATAATTTATAAATTAAATCTAACCGTCAAATCAGTCAGAAATTTGTAATATAATTTACAAAATCAAGTATTTCTTTGAAGAATATTCAAAGAATATGAAGAAGTGTTGAATAAATTAAATTCAAAGAAATGACTGAAATGAATGGCGAGAGAAGTGATGGCATAAATCTTAATAATTTATATTTGCAGATAAATATCATTTTAAAAAAGTTATTTCAAACAAATAAAAGATTTTAAATCATTCATTGCTTTTGTTTGATATGTAAATCATATTTTGTATTAAAATATAAAAATAATTGGAAAAACAGTTGAATTTAATAATTAACAATTATTGTTAGATTTATTGATTTAAGTTTTACAATAGTTATATTAATACATAACTGTAGCGTAAAATATAAAGTCTCAATACTTTATACGCAAAACATAAAAACACAATCATTTCTATAGAAATGTATAAATGTATTGAAAGTATTGCCAGAATTGTTGTACTCATTAGTTAGGGATTTATGTTTTCTCGCGATTTGTAAAGTAATTAAATGTTTAAAAATAGTTTTCAATCAAATATAAGTTATATAACCGTTAATTCAGTTATTATTTTTTCAACAACTTTTTAAATCCAGTATTTGTTTGCAAATAGTATTCAAAGAATCCAAAGAAGTATTGAATCAATAAAACGCAAAGACATGAGTGAAATGAATGGCCAGAGAAGTGATGTCATGAACGATGACATTCTGGGACTCATACTAAAGAGATTAGATCTCAAAGACATGTTTTGTTTGAAACTCGTGTCACAACAGTTCAGAGATTGTGTGAAAGAAGTACTTCAAAAGAAGACAGAAGTGAGCGTTGGATTGGAAGATCAGAAGACATCCCAAAACATAAGTTGGTTTAAACCCAACTTTGAAGCCAATGTATGGAATCGTATTGACATAACATCAGCGGTCAGTTTGAGAGGCATTGATCTCGCATTGGATGACAACAGAAACTCAAACATCGAGTCCACTGTCAGTCAATTTCGTGGCGTAAAGAAGTTATATTTGGCGTCAACTGTAATCAGTTTGAAAACAATGCAGTTGTTTGTCAAGCAATGGCCACAACTCCAAGAGATCTACATCTATGACATCCAAATCCAACGCTTGAGTGACCAGACAATCACCGAATGGACACAACTTCTGTCAAACATCAAACACTTGTCCATCGGTTGCATGAGAAGCAAATACATACCGTTTCTGAGAGATCTGATCACACAATTGCGATCACTTCAAAGTGTAAACGTCCGTAACTTTAACTCATACTACGCCGACCCGACCATCCCTTTGCCAGTATTGGCCGATTGTTTGCCGCCAAACATCCATTCACTGCGAATCGATGTGTCTCCAGCCGAGACTCAAGCCTTGGATGTGATCACAAATCGGTGCACAAAATTGAAGACACTTTGTATTTCTGAAACTCATTTATGTATTTCTCAAACGCCGGTCGAAGGGTTGGATTTCTGGAATCTTCGGTTGCCATTGATCTGCGATCGTCTCAATTCACTCAAGTATTTGACGCTTATTTTGGACATCGTTTCTGCCAAAGACTTCGCAAAAAATATCGCAAAACTCAAGCACTTGAAGAAACTAGTCATCAAAATGAGTGGTTTGGCTCACTTCCAGTACTTCGGCAACAGAATGAATTTTGACACAAGAGAGATGGCCCGACACATGCGCCCAATGGTGACGCTGAATACACTATCGCTGTCGCGAGTCGTGTGTCCACCAAATGGGTGGTCAGACTTTTGCAAAGTGTTCCCAAATGTCCGCCGACTGAGAATCGATTACACCTATTATCGGTGCGATTGTCCGCACGAACAACACTACTGTGAACATTGTTTCTATCGGTCTATGGTTTCGGTGTCCAATCTGTCCCAATTGAAACACGTGATCCTTTCTAATGTCACTCCTATTACACGCCATGTACTCGACCTCTTTGCAAGTGTGGATCACTTAAGCATTTTGTCTCTTCAATATTCACTCGCGATCGAAGAGCTGATCCCATTCATTACCGAGACATTGGCCAATGGGGGCGGAGTATTCCGATTGGATCTGTTCCCAGACGTTAGGCCAGACCTGATTCAAAGAGTGGCCGCAATGGACGCCGCACTCCCGGAACGGTTAATTTTGGGCCGTTATTGTGATTTTGATTTTATTATTTGATTGAATCGCTTATCCCTGTCTTATACATTGATTGTATGTATGTTTTCATCCATGTTTTCATCAAATTTTTGTAAAATAAATCTCATTTCAAATACAAACTATTAATAAAATAAAGACCTTTTCAATCGATTAATATTTATTAATTAAAATTATATCAGAAATACGATAATATTTAAAAATAATTTTAACAAATCTTTCCATTCATTTCATTCGTATTTATTTAAATTTAATTTCAAATACAAGTTATTAATTTGATTATTAATTTTAGTTACAGAATATGTTCAGTGTTTTATTAAATAAAAACATTTTCATTTATGTAAAACAAAACATATATTAAAATTAAATAAATAGTCGAGTTTTTGTTTAAATTATTCGTTCAATTGAAATGAAGTTATTTAAAGTTTACTAAATTAAATACTCAATACTGTCCAAGGAGTACAATTATTTAATTACAATTATCTAATAAATTGTACGTTGGTGTGATGATATTATGCTAACCATCATTACCTAGATTAAAGTACATAAATTTAATTATTACTCAATTGACAACTGGTTTAATCTTAACTATAAGTCAATTAAATTTACTGTCAGTACAAAAGTAGTGGTATTTTAATGCGAGGGAAACAAACCTATTGTACGGATCATTAGTTTTGACTCAAAAACTTTTGAATACTTGAAATAAAGCAGAAAACCTTCAAATCGTTTTGAGATAATTGCCGACAAAACTCGTTAACATTGATTACCAATACGTTTAGCAATAGATTGTGCGAAAGAGAGACATACAGTGAATAAAGTGATCATCAGATTCTGTATATAAAGTATTTATTGTAATTAAATCTATAAACAAATGATTAAATGATACTTATTTTATGTACAGAATAACAACTGTTTTAATAAACATATCAATTATATTGAAGTTGTTTTCGTGAAAAATTGTTTTTGATTTATTGCTGGTCTTGATCTTGAAATCTCAATAACAATCCTATTGTGTGAACGTATGGACGATAAAAGTGATGGTAAATTGTGTGCCGTCTGTGGGGACGAAGCGATTGGTAAGTGTTTAAATTTATCAAATTGTTTTAGCTATGTACATTTAATCAGTTAAATAAATATACTAGGATAGTTTGTTAATTATAATTTAATTAATTGTTTGTTTAATAGGCAAACACTTCGGAGCCCTGACGTGCAAATCATGTAAACCATTCTTCAGGAGAAATGCGCTGAAAAACAAAGTATTAATTATTGAATATTGTTTTAATTGTTAATAACTATATTATAATAAATATGTGTTGAATTGTCACCCGAATAGGTATTTAAATGCAAAACTAATGGGAAGTGTGTTATCGATCGCAACACAAGAAAGTCGTGCCGAAAGTGTCGGCTAAACAAATGCCTGTCCGTTGGCATGAAAAAAGTGATACTAATATTAAAATCTATTTTAAAATGAATTATTTTTAATAAAAAATAATTGTCTTATTTGTAGGAAAACATCCGAAACGAAGAGGAGAAACAACTTCGAAGAATACTCGTCGAAGAGAATCGCCGGAAGAGACAAAACCGCGGATCAAGTGATGACAATATGAGGACATCAACGGATGAATACAAGAGTTATAGCAATTCAGACGAAGAGCCAGATTCGCAAAACAGCAAAAACATAATTAATATATCGTTAGCCGTCGACTCTCGACGCAAACAAAACTCTAACAAAGACTTTCTGAACGATCTGTTAGTGGACAGCAGTATTAGCCAAGAGATGATCAATTGTGAGATCAAAGAGATTGTGGATTACATTGAAGATAAGGCCAAAGCAGATGATGAGAGAGACAGCGATTCCCACGCCATAGATGTGTACAAAACAATAGAGAAGCCGTTCGTCGACTGTTTCATTGAACTGCAAGACAGTCGGCTCCGGGAACTGATGGCTGTGACCAAAGTATGGGACATTCCCAGCGTATTTGCTAATCATATGGTGCAGATCACCAATAGGCAGATCATGGACTACATGTCCGGCATATTCTACGACAAAGAGGTCAAAAACGTGATAACACTGTCCAAGAGTTTGAGTACATTTGAGCGCATTTGCGATAACGATAGGATAGCTTTGGTTAAGTACGGCTGTATGGATATACTGTGCCTCCGATCGGTCACATCTTATGACACCATCAATGAGTACTGGAGAATAGTTTTGGTATTCATTTTCATTATTTGTTTGATTAGAAAAATGATTTTTAATGATAAATATTGTTTATAAACCGCTCGAAGAATGAAGAAATCTCTTTCCTAATGAGAGCCGATATATTGAAGTCTATACGAAACGATGTGTACATGATTTACATCGATTATTTCACATCCATTTGCCACGAATTGGATTCCGACCCAATCATATTGGATTTGGTGAGTGATTGGCCACTAATAAAGTTACTGTACTTTGAAATACTAAAACACCATTTAAATTACCAATTTTATTCATTAATAATTCTGTATTTTATTTTATTTTTGTCAATAGTTAACAGCTATCGTACTCTTTAATCCGGACCGACAATACCTGATACATAAGGAGGCAGTAAAGTAAGTGATTAAGTTAAAACATACACTGAAAATAATGTATTTCCCGATTACTTACTAATTTCGCAGACAAGAGCAAAATCTATACATATATTTACTGCAACGATATCTACGGCTAAAATACAAGTCTGAATGTCAGGCGGAGTTCAAGTTTGGCCGACTTTGCCGTACATTAAAAGAAATATATCTATTGGGAGAAAATCAGCTCAAACTCGCACAACAGGACGACCCCGCGATTTACGGGCCACTCGTTAGAGAGATATTTAATTTAAAAATTTCTAATTAAACATTCATATGTTTGACTATTATAATTACGTGGTTGGTTTTGGTTATGCACAGGGTCTCTTTGTCTAATTTAATGAACAATTAGGTAATAATTTTATAATTATTTAATTGCATAGCAATTAAATCTCAACAAATACTCATATACTTTGTGTAATAATTTAAAGTATACGGCAATACAATGTAGATATATAGCAACAAAATGATTACAAAATATTATCGCTCACTTATGATTTAATTAAATGTCAATTGAGATAAATTTAATGTTTTTTTGTACGCAATCTGAATAATATTGCTGATAATAAATACCATTTTATATACCATATAATAAAATGTAAAAATATCCTTTTAGGTGAAAGTAAACACACATTGAGATTCTCATTATATTATAGTATATTAAATAATATTGAATTAAGTGCTAAAACTTTACACTTGAAGTGGACTTATTATCTTAATAGCGGCGATAAGTCCAGCGATAACGCCGAGAGATAAGGGTCTCGACCGGTGAGAAACTGCTCAGTAATGTTGTGCCACAAGAAACTTCTAGAAAATTATATTTATTACATGGTAGGAATAAAATGTCATCGTGTACTTATCAATCATTAATATCACTCATGGTAAGGTATGCCTATTAAATCGATGCCTATACGCTATGGATTACCAAATAATTACATGTTTTACACGTATATTATGCATGAATATTGAATTTTAACGCAAATAACTATTTTTGATTAGTTTATGAGAATTGAAATAAAAATAAAACTGAATAAAACTTAATGATTATTCACATCATATTAATAGAAAAAATTACTTTACAATTGCTATTTAAGTACTCATAGAACTCATCCTTTAGGAAACAATTAGCGGAAAAAAGTTTATTTAAAAAATATATTATTGTATTTTATTTGTTAATCGTTTCCTAAGGCAGTGATAGGCAATAATCGCGCTTTTATTCTCTAACCCTAACCCTACCGGAGCTTCAATTCAGCCGTCATTAACGTGACTGAAGGCCGTATGAATTCATATATAAAGTCCATAGAGAGTATGTATATAACATCGGGGGTGAAATATTTGTCCTTGGGATAAATATATAACCATAGACTGAGCCACCACTCACTCTCTCCCTCTCGATTCTGGTTAATTATGCTATGCATTGCATATCTATAATGTTTAATACCCTAATGGAAATACTGAATACACTAACACCAACAATCTACATGCTAGGTTTACAGTACACAGTATATTGGGTACATTTAATACACACACATGTATGTAATTCCTATGGCAAAAAAACTAGTTTTGCACAGATTCTGCTCAGTTTGTGCATTAGTTTGTATGAACTGCTCGTTTGCTCGATTGCATTGCCATTTCATCATAACCTAAGCCTAAATAGTAATATATTGCTAATACTTTGTATGTGTTTTAGTGAATATAATTATTAATAATATTATTTTTGTCGTTTGATTTTTTTGCATTCATAACGTGTGATCGATATTCAGTTGTTCATGGCACTTTATTTTTGACGTTAGTTTATTATAACAATAATTAATTAGCGTTAATGAAACCGACATGGATGCTATGCGAACAAGTGTATTTTATCTATGTCGTTTAATGGCCTAGTCTATTATATACACAGTGTATAAGTTATATCTTATAATAATAACTGCAATCTTTGGATATATAATTGGTTTGTATTTTCACTCAATTGAATGGGAATCGCATCGAAAGCCTTGAAGACATCGAAAAGAAATATTGCATTTTGTGTTTGAATTGGATTTTTATGTAAATAATAATTACATATTTTATTGACATTTATATACATGCTATGTGTATAAGAAGGAGAATATGACATTCAAAGTGTGTCTTAAGCCTAAATCTACACGTTTTGCGAAACAATTTTGACAAAACTTCAATAATATATAATTAAAAATTTATAAATAACTTAATTAAGAGAAGTTTTTGTTGATTTTTGGTGCCAACCCTCGAGTGATAATTACTGTGAAAGAGATTGTAATCATAAATACAAATCCCAACAAAAATGACAGATAAAGACGGCAGCAAAATATGCGGCGTTTGCGGCGACAAAGCTATCGGTATATTAATTGAATATAATTTTTACCATAATTTATATCCTATTAATAGTTAGTAATAATTTTAGTTAATAGTTAATACAGGTTAACATACATTGTATAAATGCAATCAATCGCTGTATACAGTATGTTAACAATAAGGTAATTAACGATTAATTAAAATAGTTTTCCTACACTAAAAATTCCAATGAAAAACAAGCATTCAATAGGATATTGTATTTTATAGCACATAAAATGAAATTTAAAATATTAATTGCAATTAAAACTATTGATTTATAGCGAAAAACTTCGGCGCCGTTTCCTGCGAGAGCTGTAAAGCCTTCTTCAGACGAAACGCACACAAACTGACGGTAAAATTAACCGTTTTATTGTCATTTATAACTTTTACAATAGTTTATTGTGTGATAAAACTTAATTAAAACACTCATTTTATTTCATGAATGTACAAAACAGGTGTACAAATGCTATTTCGACGAGAAATGCAAATTAGATTCAGTGACGCGAAAATTTTGCCGAAGATGTCGTCTCCGGAAGTGCTTCGAGATCGGAATGAAACAAGTAATTGATATATGGTTTCAAAATTATCAATAAATCCTAACCATAAATGACTAAAACAATTGATTATACGATTACTTCAGGAGTGGATTCTGAACGACGAGGAAAAACAGGTCCGCAGGAAGAAGATCGAGGAGAAGCGGTCGAAGAAGCGCAAGAACTCAGTGCAGAGTTCGTCATCCGAGACCAAATCGGTGAGCGATTCCAACAGCGGTTCCAACAACCCGTCGCCGCCCGACCTCTTGAGCTCAGCCATGAATTCGGTGGAGCTGTACGGCAACGGCGGCGACATCTCCGACGACGAGATCATACACAACATCACAGACATCGAGAGCTATATCTTCAGCGACGATGTGGTGGTCAATAGGGATGGAGTCGTTGGCGAACTGCCCGGCGATGGCGACGACGACGACGAAGACGACATCGCGCCCGACGTCTACCAGAAGGCCGTCGAACTGGAGTTCGCTGTACTGCCGATCGCCCGACCGATGGGCGAGTGTAGCGATACGTTCAATGAGCTCGAGTACAGTCGACTCACGGAATTGTTTACGGCGTTGAACATAATGCAGACACAGGTGCCCGAGAACGCGGTGCCGATGGAGAACATTGAACACATGTGTCAGATAATGGCCACCAAAGTGGACAAAGAGATCCGATCGCTGGTGACGGTGTCCAAAGGGTTGAGCGCATTCAACAGTATGTGTGAGAACGACCAGATCTCGCTCCTCAAGTACGGATCCATTGAGATATTTTGCATGCGATCAGTGCTCACATACGATAACGTTACCGATTGCTGGACATTAGTAATGGTATGTGTGGTTATTGTGTTTTTTTATCATGTGTTATATTGTTTTTGAGGTTTACGTGTTTGTTATGATGTTTAATGATTTGGTTTTTGTGGTTATTTTGTTTAGGATAACAATCAGTCAATTATGTTAAAGTTTGATACACTTGACGGCGATTTCGTGTTTAGCGCACATAAAAAGTATTTACGAAAAATAGGCAAAGAATGGGATTCCGATCCTTATATATTGGATCTGGTAATTATCATGATCATTTTATCTTATAGTGTGACTGAATTAGCATAATTATGTTAATTAACATGTGCTATTTTATTGTGATTAGTTGACAGCGATCGTACTGTTCAACCCGGATCGTCCTAACCTAATCCACAAAGACATGGTTAAGTAAGTAATTTAAACCTAATTATGTTAATTCATTGATTAGTATTTTAAAAATATTGTTTTATTGAATAGACTTCAACAGCAAATGTATATGTATTTACTTCAGAGGTATCTATTGCTGAAGAGTAGATCCGAGTGTCACTCGAAGGAAAAGTTCTTAAGACTATTGAATACATTACACGATTTGGATGGTGTGAATCAAATGCGAAATGGTGCATGCACTAAAGGGGGCCCACCCGAGGCATTTGGCCCACTACTCAGGGAGATACTCGATATCGACAATTAAAATGATCATATTCTTCATTTATATCATTTTCATTTTTTCATAAATTGTTCAAATATTTACATGTTTTTAGAATATATATTTTAAGTCATAATTTAGTTATTACTGAACTAATTGTTAGTTTTCATAAAACAAAATCAATTTTAAATTACATTTATTTTACTACATATGAGATACCATTTTAAAGTCACGCAATACTCGTGTGTCTTATACTAAATATAAATATTTATTTTAATTGTAAACCAAATTATTTTATTCATTCAAACACTACTTGTATTATATATTTTTAAAACACATTATTTTAAACAAATTATTTTATGTTATAAAAGCATTGGTGAAAAGTTTTATTCTTGTAATGCAGATAATGTCATACAATGTTAATAAATTGTTTAACAACTAATAAGAACTTGTTAGTTTGAACTCATTTTACATTGGTGTAAAATTCTAATAAATTAACTGCAAAATTAAACATCCATTTTAAGTGTTTGCGATTTAATGTAATCTTAAAAGTCTTATCTTAAAACTTGAAGAGAGTGTTTATGATGGCATTTATGGCAAATACAGTATACATTCATATGTGTACGTATGTATCATGTATCACAATCTGGTAAAATTATTAAAGGCAAATAAATATGAATATAGCACAATTAAATTTACAATATGCTTACTTTTAATAGTGTTTTTGAATGAATTTAAAGAGGGCGCTAACTTGTGATAAAATTAATTGAGTTTGGATAGCAATGTATGACGAAATTAAATTTACTCTCCAGAATCTAGCGAATCTAGAGTCTAGATAGTATAAATTATACTGAATATTGATTAAGTAATTACAAAATAATTAAGTTTATATTAAAGTAAAAATTTGAGAGTTTATATTATGGGCGATATATAATTTATTGCATCGATATTGTAAATTATTTGCACTAAAAATATTACGTCACATATCTATCTCAGTTTGTTTTACTATAAAATACAATATTTTATTTAGTATATTTGTAAATTATATAAAAAAGGATAAATGTAAAACTCGTGAGTAATTAATTGATGAATTAATTGAAAGTGTGAATTTTAATTTATTGTTTTAAAATATAAGAAAACAATTTATATTTTTTAAACATTACCTTAATTTTTAAAAAGTTTAAAGTAATGCCAAAACCAAGCAAAAAGTGTGTTGTATGCGGTGACAAAGCAATAGGTATTGTGTTATTCTTATACTTTAACCATAATACAATATTTATATATTTATTTAATTAATATTTTTACTAATATTTATAATGTGTTATATTTTAGGCAGAAATTTTGGTGTATTTACCTGTGATTCTTGCAAAGCATTCTTTAGGAGATATGTTCTCCAAAATGAAGTAATTGTATTGAAATATATCTATAATTTTGTGCCTAAAAATATATTTATAACTAAATATAAATAATTAATAACATTGAACTTAGATATTAAAGTGTCGTTTGAATGGCAATTGTATTATTGATATTGATTCACGGAAGAAGTGCACGAGTTGTCGGTTTAAACGGTGTTTTGAAGTGGGAATGAAAAAAGTAATACAAGAATTTGTTTGTAAATATTATTCTTGATTTTAATTATAAATTATTTAGCAATTTGTTAGACAAAATGAAACGAGAGTTAATGAGAGTCCAGAAGAATGCGATTCAACTAACAATATGATAATCGCTACAAATAATAAAGTCATTAATAATTTACATAATAATAATATCGATGATATGTTTGCGAAGTTGTCGTTTAGTCCAGTGTTTAGCCATTTAGGCGATTATAGATCAATGAATGATTTAGAAATGCATAGATTATCCGAATTGTATTTATCATCAAAAGTATTCAATTTTAAGGCCAATTATGATCCGCAAAATAGTTGTGAATTAATGGGTTTGTATGAAATTAACTACACGTGTAATAAAGCGATGGACAGGGAAGTCAAGGATCTGATCTCTTTGACAAAGAACTTAATGTCATTCAATAGCCTGTGTTTTAACGATCAGTTGGCGCTCATTAAGTACTCCAGTCTTGAAATAATACTTTTGAGACATTCAATACATTATGATATTAATACCGATGTCTTGACGTGGGCTTCGGTTTGTATATTAAATGTAATTAAAATTTTATTAAATTAAGTGTTGGCTTATTTTGCACAGAATTCAGACACTTGTGTTGGTTCATTCAAATTGAGTGCATTTAAATACGAGAAACGTGGTATTTACGAGTTTTACAAAGATCTTTTTCCAACAATAAATAATGAATATAACCAGGATTTTATAATATTGGACTTGGTAATAATTTATATGGAATTAAACACTTATTGTCAGAATAAATTAATAATGTAATTTTAATGTTATTTAACAGTTGATAGCAATATTACTGTTTGATCCAAACCGACCAAACTTACTACATAGAGATGTTGTGAAGTAAGTTTTGAAAATACAATGTAATTTTCAATTGATTTAATAATTGTTTTAATTTGTTACTTTTCAGAGTCGGACAGCAATTATATATTTATTTACTCCAAAGATATCTGAATTTGAAAACCGGATCAAAAGTGAAAACAGAGGCAAAACTATTGAAACTAATGAATATTTTAATAGATTTACAATTTATATCTAATATTGCAAAACAAAATGCTTTTGATGTATATTTGAATACATTTGGACCCATATTTAAAGAAGTTCTCTTTGGTATTACAACTTCTAAATAATTAATAATTTTGTAATACATTTGTTATTAAAATATATTTTTTTAAAAATTGAATTTATTATTGGAAACCAAAAATTTATTTTTAAAAATATTTATAAATATAATTTATATAGTCTTATGTGAAAGTTACAAGTGTATATCCGTTATATTATGAATTCAGTGCAATTTAAGTGCAATATTAGTGCCATTTAACTACACGTAAAATCAAGTACTTGCTGTTTTTTATACGGTATGTTTTGTAATTGTTATTGAGTATTTTGTTGTTACCCAATGTACTATGTATAAATTTATTGTTTAAGTTTTATTTTGGTGTATTTTATTTTGAATTTTAAATATTTAATCATCCATTCTTTAAAATAGAAAGTGATTTAAAACATGTAAATGTTGTTTGTATTGAATATATTGTACATGTATTTCGAATTTGTTATCGTTAAGGCAACCATAAACAAGGTTAATTGTACAAATTGATCAATGTTAATTATATTTTATATTTATTATGAACATCAAAATATAAAGTGCTGTATATTTGTTAACTAATAATAAATTATTATAAGTATTTGTTGCATTTGATATGCAAATCACATCTAATAAGTGACCAGTGTCAATTTGAAAGAATATTTATTGCAAAAACTAATATTTAAAATATGCCAAAAATAAGCGGCGATTGCGGTGTTTGTGGCGATAAAGCAATTGGTATTTAACTATTGATTTATTTTAAAAATAATTTATATTTTTAATTAACATTCCTTAACATTTAGGCCGTAATTTTGGTGCCATTTCTTGCGATTCTTGTAAAGCCTTTTTTAGAAGAAATGTTCTGCAAAACGATGTAATTATCTTAAAATATATTAATTATTTATAAATTGTTGTATTTATTAAATGCTATTTTAGATACCTGTGTGTCGTTTTGATGGCAATTGTATTATTAATATGAAAACACGGAAACGCTGTACGAGTTGTCGGATGAAAAAGTGTATTCAAATGGGAATGAAATCAGTGAATAATATTCTAATAATTATTATTAAAATTTTAATTTATTGTTAATTATTTAGCAATTTGTAAGAAATAATGAAACAAAAGACTACGAGAATCGATACAAATGTGATTCAACTAACGCTACAAATATTACCTCAGAATACAATACTTTGAACAAAATTATTGTAAATAATAATACAAATAATGTCAAAGAAATGAATGAAATGCAGACAACTATGTCTACAATTAGTGATACAATTAACAACTTGTTTCTTAATACTATTGACGATTTGATAGACAGCGAGAGTCCAGTGGAATGCGATTCAACTAACAATACGACAATTTGCTTAAGAAATGATACTTTGGATGATATTATAGAAAATAATGAAATTAATATTGTGACACAGATGAATGAAATGCATGTTTTAATGTCTGCAAACAATAATTATAACAATCAGTTAATTATGAATAATAATACTAATAATCATAGTAATAGTAATAATAATGATATGATTATTAAGTGGTCGTTTAGTCCAGTGTTTAGCCATTTGGATGATTATAAAAGATTTAGTGATTTAGAAATAAACAGATTTAATGAATTATTTTTATCGTCAAAAGTATTCAATTATAAGTCAGTCTATAATCCAACAAATGTTTATGAAATGAAGGATTTGTGTGAAATTAACTACTCGTGCAATAAGATGATGGACAGGGATGTCGAGGATCTGATCTCTTTGACAAAGAACTTAATGTCATTCAATAGCCTGTGTTTTAACGATCAGTTGGCGCTCATTAAGTACTCGTCGTTTGAGATAATAATTCTCAGACATTCAATACATTATGAAATTAATACCGATTACTGGACGTGGGTTTGGGTTTGTATACCAAATGCAAGTTTATTATATAGTACTTTATATTAATTTTAATTTATTTTGGACAGAAATCTGACAATTCAAGTATCGGTGGCTTTAAATTAAGTGCTTTTAAATACGAGAAACGTGGTGTATATTTACTTTACAAATCATTTCTATTTAAATTATGCAACGAATGGGACCAGGATTATGTTATTTTGGACTTGGTAAATTATTTTACATTAAATCATTAATTATATATCAATAATTTAATTTTATATTCAACCAATAGTTGACAGCAATACTACTGTTTAACCCTAACCGACCAAATCTAACGCACAGGGATGTTGTCAAGTAAATGAATATTATAATATTTATTAAACAATAATTTAATTGTTAATAATTGTATTTTCAGAGTCGAACAACAATTATATATTTATTTACTCCAAAGATATCTGTATTTGAAATATGGATCAAAAGTGGAAACAGAGATAAAACTGACAAAACTTATGAATGCATTAATAGATTTGCAATTAGTTTGTAATATCGCGACGACTAATGCTTTTGAAGTATTCTTGGATTCTTTCGGTCCCGTAATTAAGGAAATTCTTTACGATATCACAACTTAATAGATAATTAATTACCATGTACATTTTGTAATTAAATTTATCATCATTAAACATTTACTTCCATAGAAATTTTATTATAACCATTAATTAAAATTAATTGTTTTAAACGTTGACTGTATTTAATCTAGTTAATAAATTGTCACAAATTAACTTTACGAGAAGTTTATTATTGATAATAATTTGGTGTCCATTAAAATGATATAAATTGTTAAATAAAATAACCTCTTTAAATATCAGTTTAATTTACATTGGTTAGAAATTAACCAGACTGTTGCTTAAATCAAGGCTTTTCAGTGCAGTTGTCTAATACTTAAACATGTAGGTAGTGTAAGAGGTATTGCATGTGTATCATAATCTGTTATCGTATTAAATGCAGCCATATCGCTTATTTTGTTAAAATTAATCAATGTAAATTAATTTTCCAAATTATTATTACGTTGATATAATGTGAAAGTGTTGTATAAGTTATATTGTTGTATAACTGTTGCATATTCTGTATCAATAAGTGCATTGCATATAATAATAGCCAATGAAAACACAATAACTATTAGTTAAATAGTGCCATGTTTAAGAGTTATATATTTAATGTTAATATAATAATTGTAGTAATTTTGTAAAGTGCTAAAACATGTCAAAAATAAATTTTCAATGCGTTATATGCGGTGATAAAGCCGTAGGTATTGTATTTGTAATTTCATTTAATTGTAAAATTTAGTATTTATTTTATTGCAAACTATTATTAAAATTTTAGGTCGAAATTTTGGTGCCATAACTTGTGAGTCGTGTAAAGTTTTTTTTCGTCGAGCGGTCACTCAATATGAAGTAAATGTTGTTTTTTAATACATTAAACAGCGATGTATTTAATTAATGAGTAAATTGTTGTGCAATAATTAGGGTATGGTTTGCCGTTTAGGCAACAATTGTGTCATTGATTTGCAAAATCGTAAGAATTGTAAATATTGTCGAATCCAGAAGTGCTATGAAATGGGAATGAAAAAAGTGAGCGAATTATTATTATTTTTTGAGAAAATTTGAATTAAAATCAAATTGTTTTATAATATTTTGTAGGAATTTATCCGAACCTCAAAACAGGAGATAAAGGATAAGGAAAACAAAGTGAATGAAAGAGCACTTTGCTGTACATATCGGACACAAAATGATGAAAATATTGTATTGAATAATATTATTGAAAACTTTGAGACAAATGACGAGAGACTTAACCAACAAATACGGGAAATAGAGTACTGCCTATCGATGGCTAATTCGGACGGCATTTACAATAACATCAATGATTTCTACCACGAAATGTCATTCAAACCAGTTTTCCGACAATTAAATGAAAACACAAACAGTTTTAATGAATTGGAAACCAAGAGATTGTATGAATTGTTTCGGTCATCGGAAGTGTTCAAACATAAGTCAATTCAAACCCACAGTCAATACCTGTTGACTGATATGATTGATGTGAACAGCACTTGCCTACTGATGCTGGACAGGGATGTCGACGATATGCTTAAGTTTACCAAAAATCTGGACTCATTCAGGAATCTGTGTTTTAACGATCAGTTGGCACTCATTAAGTACGGGTGTCTTGAGATGCTTTTGCTCAGGTATTCAATACTATACGATATTAAGACCGATTACTGGACGTGGGTTTGGGTTTGTATACCAAATGAAGTGATAATATATTTTATATTAATTGTGGGATTTATTTGTGTCCAGAAAACCGATAACATGACTGCCGGCACATTTAAATTGGATGTCTATAAGCCTGAAAAGCGCAATATGTACGTCCATTACAAAAACTATTTGCATAAATTATTACCCGAATGGAATAGGGATTACATTGTATTGGACTTGGTAGATAATTTACTTCAAATTGATTTTTAATTTTTCAATACATATAATGTGTCATTTAATTTGGTTATAGTTGACAGCGATTGTACTCTTTAACCCACATCGACCCAAACTTATCTACAGAGATGTCGTGAAGTAATTAGTATTACTAAATTATTATTGAGATTACAATTACTATTAATTTAATTGTAACCCTATTTTAGAAGTGAACAACAATTATATCTATATTTATTGCAACGCTATCTGTATTTAAAACACGGCTCGGAATCGGAAACACAGAGAAAACTATCAAATTTTATGAATTCATTGACAGATTTGCAGAATATTTGTGAAATTAAGAAGAAAAATGGACACGAATTTTATCTCAAGTCTTTCGGACCTATTCTTAAGGAGATTCTCTATGATATGACTTCATATAACTAAGGCTTTAATTATGTGGCAATTAATATAACTAAAAATAATTTATATAAAGTCCCAAATAAGGGGTTAAATTTGGGAATTAATTTACGTTAAAGTTTTAATTTTTGTTAATCAGTTTTTATATCATTTTTAATGGATTATATGTTTTATTTAATAAAATGTAATTATTATATTCACTAACAAATATTGAATGAAAATTAATTAGGTTTTTACCTTATAAAACATTAAATTAAAACTGATTCTTACGCTTAACTTATAATAAAAATGCATTCAAATCATTAATAAGAGACTGTAATAGAAAAGTATTTTAATAAATACTCTTAAATTCATGTTTATATCAAAATTAACATAAATTATTAGGAAATAAAATTATGTGATAATCCAAAATGATTATAATTATACTTTTCGATATAAAAATGTTGATTTATACCATTAATTTGTAATTAATATTAATAATTAACTCATTTTGTATTTAATAACTCAAATCTAGCGCTCAATTCATGCAATACTTATTGTGTTATTCATTGCCATAAATAACGTGTCAAACAATCTCTCAATCATTGCATGTGTTTTGCGGCAAAAAGTTTTGACCATTCATTGCATCAATCAATTGATCCATTGTTTCGTTTCTTGCAATCAACTCTTGTTTGGTGGACACGTGTGACTGAAGAGGAAGACAACCCTTGCCATAGATTCAATGGACGCCAAGAAGTTGGACCGCAAACTGAAAGACATGAAAGTTGTGTTTGAAATGAGAGATGAGATCAAAGTCTTGAGAAAGTGTCTCAAGACATATGCTCTCGTTGTCGACAGACAATCCAAAGCTAACCAAACGCTGACCAAAGCGGTTGTCATGAGTGTTAAGAAGATACCAGAGTTCGAGCCAATGATTGATGGCATGAAAGACACCGAAGAATTGATACGACAATCAAAAGACAATTTGCGGAAATTGAAGGCAACACTCGTGGAGACAAACCTCCAGAAAGTGGATGAACTGATCCGCGGATGGAAACAATGCGCGCCAAAGAGTGAACAATGCGTTCAAATCGAAGAGGAATGCGAAGAGTCGGTGGATATGAGCGCAAAGTCTGAGCCAATGAGTGACACAAACCCTGTCCAGAGTTTCGATGCCGAGTACGAGACGACCGTTAAGACTGAGTCTACAATCGATTGTGTGGACAGAGATAGCGAAATGGTTGAGTCGGACAACTCGTGCGTAACCATCGACTCCGATACCAGCGATTGCGAGACCGAAGTGACCGCAAACACATCCAACAGTAGCGGCGGAAACGGTGACGATAGCGGCCGTCAAACGCCGGGATCTGAGCGCAAAGGTTTGGACAGAAATGAGACACAGAGTGATGGCTCGATGGCGACGACGACGAGTGCCCAACAAACTGAGGGCCGGCGAGTGGTGTCAACCGGCGGTAACCAAAACTCAATACCGATGTACGCGTGTCATTGGCCTGAGTGCTCGTTTAGGGCCACATATAATAGTCGTGTGAAGCGTCACATAAACTGCGTCCACAAGAAAGTGAAGCCATACGTGTGCCAGAGCTCCGGCTGTCAGTATAGGACCGGTCATTCATCGCATTTCAAACGACACCAACGCCGTCACCAAAAGGATCCCAATCGTCGATACGCGTGTGAGCGCCCGGACTGCGCGTATAAGACCAACGAACGGTACGAAATGACTGTTCACATGAATCGGCACAACAACGTCAGGCCATTCGCGTGCGATATGTGTGAGTATAGGGGCGTTGATTCAGGGGATCTCAATAAACACAAACGCAGTCACCAAATGAATCCCAATTACCGACACATTCCTCAACCTTCCCGTTTGGCCACAAATTAAAGTGTTGTCACAAAACTTGGGGTTTTATTCCTCCCGAGAGTCTTATAATAACTTAATGTTAATTTCATTTTTAATGATACATTAATTTGCAGTCCATTTATTTAAAAACATTTTAATCTCAATTATAATTTATAAAATTAATAACTAATAATTCATAATTTTACTAATGATTTGTTTGTCAAACATTTTTACTTTTATTATAATTAAATTAAAGTCGATTCTAAATCATAATATCTATATTTATTTCAACGCAATCTGTATTTAAAACACGGCTCAGAATCTGAAACAGAGAATTAACAACTTTTATAAATTCATTCATAGATTTGCATAATATCTGTGAAATCAATAATAAAAATGAACACCAATTTTATCTCAAATCTTTCGGACCTATTCTTAAGGAGACCTCAAATACATTCAAATATCAATTAACTTATACTTCAATTATATTGAAAATTATAAGTTTATATTTTAAATTTTTCATTAAATCTTAAGCCTATTCTGAAACACTGATTATTACTGCGTTTGCATTAAATTCGTATAAATTGAGTGAAAATAGCGATTAATTCAATAGTTTTGTTGTTTAAGCGATTGGTTTGACATTCAATTGAAATGATTGTGAAAAAAGTGAAGTTTTTATGTGTTATTTGCGGCGACAAAGCGTGCGGTAAATAACTTTATAAAAGTTTTGCTAATTAAATATTTATATCAATTACTTTAATATGTATTTTAATATCTATTTATTGGGTTTTTAGCAAACATTAAATCAAAACTGATTCTTAAGTTTAACTCATAATAAAAATGCATTCAAATCATTGATAAGAGACTGCAATAGAAATGTATTTTAATAAATACTCTTAAATTCAAGTTTATATCAAACTTAATGTAAATTATTAGAAAATAAAATTACATGATGATTAAAAATGACTATAATTATACTTTTTGATATAAAAATGTTGATTTACACAATTAATTTGTAATCAATATTAATAATTAACTCATTTAATAATTAATAACTCAAATCTAGCGCTCAATTCATGCAATACTTATTGTGTTATTTATAGCCATAAATAACGTGTCAAACAATCTCTCAATTATTGCATGTGTTTTGCGGCAAAGTTTTGACCACTGATTTCAATCAATTGATCCATCGGTTCATAGCTTGCGATCAACTCTTGTTTTGTGGACACAATTGACTGAAGAGGAAGACATCCCTTGCCATGGATTCAATGGACGCCAAGAAGTTGGACCGCAAACTGAAAGACATGAAAGTTGTGAATGAAATGAGAGATGAGATCAATGTCTTGAGAGAGTGTCTCAAGACATGTGATCTCGTAATTGACAAACAATGCAAAGCCATCAAAACGCTGACCAAAGTGTTTGACATCAGTGTTCAGAAGATACCAGAGTTCGAGCCAATGATTAATTGCGTGAAAGACACCGAAGAATCGATACAACAATCAAAAGACAATTTGCAGACATTGAAGGCATCACTCGTTGAGACAAACCTCCAGAAAGTCGATGAACTGATCCGCGGATGGAAACAATGCGCGGCGACGAGTGATCAATGCGTTCAAACCGAAGAGGAATGCGATGAGTCGGTGGATATGATCGCAAAGTCTGCGCCAATCAGTGACACAATCGGTGTCCAGAGTTTGGATGCCGAGTACGAGCCGACCGTCAAGACTGTGTCTTCAGGCGATTGTGTGGACAGAGAGAGCGAAATGGTTGAGTCTGACGACTCGTGCGTAACCATCGATTCCGAGATCGAAGTGACCGCAAAGATCTTAATATCGATATCCAAGAGTAGCGGCGGAAACGGTGACGATAGCGGCCGTCAAACGCCGGGATCTGAGCGCAAAGGTTTGGACACAAATGAGACACAGAGTGATGGCTCGATGGCGACGACGAGTGACCACCAAATTGAATGGCGGCGAGTGGTGTCGACCGGCGGTAACGCAAACACAATACCGATGTACGCGTGTCAGTGGTCTGACTGCGAGTTTCAGACCAGATATAGTCATAATATTAAGCGTCACATAAACGTCGTCCACAAGAAAGTGAAGCCATACGTGTGTCAGAGCTCTGGCTGTCAGTATAGGACTAACTATTCATCGTATCTCAAACGACACCAACGCCGTCACCAAAAGGATCCCAATTATAGGCTTCAATCGTTTCCCATTCACATCGAGTCCAGCGATCGCGAGAGCGAAGTGACCGCAAACTCGGCCGGAGTCGGCACAAGCGGTAACGATAGCCGCTGTAATGCAGAGGAGGGCGGCGGCCGATCTGAGCGCAAGTGTTTGACCACAAATGGGACACCGATTAAGCGCTCGATGGCGACCACGAGTGCCCATCGAAGTGAACGTCCGCTCTATCGGCGAGAAGTGGTGTCCGTCTATCGCAAGATATTGCCAAAGAAAGGGGACGCGTGTGAGACCAGTAATCGGCGCGTGAATCGACACAACGTCAGGCCATTCGCGTGTGACAGGTGTGAGTATAGGACCGGCCGTTCATGGGATCTCAATCGACACAAACTCTGTCACCAAAAGGATCCCAATTATAGACTCCATTCGTTTCCCATTCACATCGAGTCCAGCGATCGCGAGAGCGAAGTGACCGCAAACTCGGCCGGAGTCGGCACAAGCGGTAACGATAGTCGCTGTAATACACAGGAGGGCGGCGGCGGATCTGAGCGCAAGTGTTTGGCCACTAATGGGACACCGAGTAAGCGCTCGATGGCGACCACGAGTGCCCACCGAAGTGAACGTCCGCTGTATCCGCGAGAAGTGGTGTCCGTCAGTCGTAAGCCATCGCCAAAGAAACGGTACGCGTGTGAGCGCACGGACTGCGGGTATAAGACCAGTGAACGGTACCAAATGACTCTTCACATGAATCGGCACAACAATGTCAGGCCATTCGGGTGTGACAGGTGTGCGTATAGGGCCGGCCGTTCAAGTGATCTCAATCGACACAAACGCCGTTACGAAAACAATCCCAATTACCGACACATTCCTCAATATTTCCACCGTTTGGCCAAAGATTAAAGTATTGGAACAAATTCGTGGTTATATTCCTCCCGAGCGACTCATAATCACTTGTCTTAATATTTATCTGATTTTTAATTTTATATAAAGTTGCAGTAAATTTA